ATTGAAGGTCAAGGCGTTGATGCCAGCAAAGACCCGAGCCTGTCTGCTTTCCTGTCTGACTCCATGCTGCCAACTACTATCTCGTGCACAACCTTCCCGCCCGCCAGAGTCTGAAATTACTCGAAGAAACGGTCGACTACAACACAAATTATTTCAAGCATAGAGAAGAGAACCAAAGCAGTCCGGGCGCCGTCGGTGGCGACTTGGGATGGGAAGGGCAAGAAGGATTACATGCAAAGGTACCCACTTAGAAACCGAAAATTTAAACACATATCTACACACATAAAAAAGCGAGAAGTTATTCCAGCCAAGAGTAGACGATATCTAGGGCCGTGTGTGTAACGACAGGAAACGTGAAATCGTCTAAGGCTTGGCCGAGGCGACGGCGTGTAGACTTGATCGCGCAGTAGACGTTTACGAAGTAAGCGTAATCGTATTCGTCGAAAGGCACGTCGTGGTCGATGTGCATCAGGCGCCAGTCGTAGTCGTGGTCGTCGTCCGGAACGTTAATCTGAGAAATTTGTATGAATGCGCAGTTGAAAGCATTAAGAGGGGCAGTTATAAGTCAAGGTTTGGTAGTGATTGTGTCCGTTGTACAGTAGGTCGCAGGTGGTTGGTGACGGTGGAGCGGGATAAGGATTGCCAATGAGTGTAATACGAAACTCTCGGTTGTACAATTGAGAGGCAGCGCGAAGTTCAAGGTTCGTGCAATATGCAGTGGGGTGTGACATAAGTTTCAGATACTCTGGGACGCTACTGTAGAGTTGCTCGGCGCGGCCAGCAATTTGAATTAATTCGCTGTTGACACCAGTATCAATGATGTTGAAAAAGGTGAGACCTCCAAACATGGGATACTGTACATGCAGGTTGGAGGAGATGTGGTGCAATATTTGAGTTCGAACATACCGGTGTGTGATGGGCGAGCCGTAAATGTATCGTGAAACGCAACGCAGCATGCAAGCACCGTCACCAATCTCGTCAAGGACTGTCCAAGAACCCAGAGAGTCTGCGTTGGCGTCATCGTTGTCGGAATCGTCAACAGAATCCGTGTCATCTTTGTCGGCATCATCAACAGACTCTTCATCCCCATCACATGATTGAGTGTCTTTGTCTCCGCCGACGCTACCTGAGATGCTGTTACCGGGATGGTAATCACCAAACGTGGCGGCTTGAATGAGAGGAGGGTAAACTATGTTGTCCGTGTAGGGGATGCCGTCGATAATGTGGGTGTCAGGCAAAAGGCACATGATGGAGGTGCGATTCTGTGAGCGGCTGAGAGCAACGTAGAGTTGACCATGAGCGAAAGGGGAAGACCTAAGGTCGAGGCCGATCTTGGACAGAGTTTGACCTTGGCTCTTGTTAATGGTCATTGAATACGCGGTTCTCAGAGGAAATTGTTTTCGAGTAAAGCAAATGCCATTGCGACCTACTTTACCCTGGAAGTTGATTCTCGGGATGAGAACAATAGGTCGGGGTCTTTCTTCAGTGAGAAGTTGAACTTGCAGCACTCTACTTGATGCAGAGACGGCGAGGACGACGCACTTTTGGCCGTTCACGAGGCCCTCGGAGAAGTTGAGGTTGCGTGTTATTAAAGCGAGGGTGTCAGTTTTTAGTTTGAGTTCGTGAGGCGGTATGCCTTGGACATTAAGCTGATTGAGGTGCTCAGGAGACGCGAAAGCAGTACGTCTGTTTTTCTCGTCCGAGATTAGAGAATCCGAACTGAAGAAAGAGACATAGTTGCCAGGGCGATTGTCGGAAATCGTGTCGTTTGAACGGTCGATGGAGTGGTTAGTGGTTGCAAGGATAGCACGAGTGTTCCATATACGGGACTGCTGTGAGAGGTCAGGGTACACAAAGCGGAGCAGTTCGTCAAAGTCGGTCGTGTACCTTAGCTGAAAATGGTTGGCGGTGTCTTCGTTGTCGTGGTTGTTTAGTGGAGTTAGCTTGGATCCATCGGACATGGTAACTGTTGGGCGTGAACCCTCTCCTATGGACCTGACAAAAGATGCATACTGGGGGTCTTCCTTGTCTCGCTGTGATTTGTTGAGTCTGAAACGCATGACACCCTTCCAGAGAGGGCTGGAGATAAATGCGGCGTCGACGGTGTCAGTAGGTGCAGCGTTTTTGACAATTGGACCTGTTTGGCGCCAGTCACCGCTAAATAGAATGGTCTTTCCTCCAAAGGGTTGATCTACGGCCATGAGGTCTTTTAGAGTTCTGTCGAGAGCTTCAACGCAGTATCTGTGAGTCATGGGAAGTTCATCCCAAATAATGAGGTTGGACTGACGGATGAGTTCTGCTCTTTGAGTCTGACTGCTGATGTTACAGACACATGACGGCGTTAGGTTGTCATCCATTGGTAATTTGAACATGCTGTGAGCTGTCCACCCTCCGGGCAGCTGCAAAGCGGCAATACCCGTCGATGCAACGATTAAAACCACTTTATCTTCACCCCTCAATCTTGAAGCCAAACATTTCTCTGTGAAAGTCTTACCGGTACCTGCAGGAGCGTCTATCATGTAAGCCTGGCCTTTGTTGGTTCTTACAGATTGAAGGACGCTGGTGTAGACTTGTCTTTGTTCTTTTGTCAGTCTGGGTTCGTGAGTGTCGGCGTACTGAAGGCAGTTGTCAGAGTTGAAGGCAGCCCTCATTCTTTGAAGCTCAGTCTCAGTGTGAATAGCGGCGGGCAGGTTAACCTGAACATTTGTCTTCCCGTGTAGTTGTAACTTTAGGTCGATTTGCCGCAGTGCTTCGTCTAAGGCTTCTTCTTTGGTTAAGCGGGAAGTCAAGTCTTCGCACAGGCTACCTTGGAATTCACCCCACAGTTTGGATGCAGGTGCACCGTCGAGAATCAGTGTTACGAACAGAGACCGTAGCTGGTGTCCTACTTCAAACTGAGAGGCTTCTTCCATGCATATAGTATACTCTTCGTCGCCAGTGATTAGTCCTCTGGCCCTGGCCGCGTCGTGAAAAGTCGCATGTTCGATGGGGGCGCTGTTGTCAGGATGAGTTGTGCGCAAATCCAGGAACGAACGCCCAGGAATACTGTGAAGGAGAAGTCGCAGGTAGAAGAGGTCGCCTACAGCGGGGTTCTGGAAGGTTATGCGGCAGACATGGTCGTCTTTTCTCTTTCTGTTTGAGATGATGTTTAGGTATCCGTCTAAGTACTTCCCGAAAGGTGGTACAGTAAGAGGGGGTTGATCTTTTTTCTGCTTCGTTACCGTGAACTGTTCGAAGTAGTCGAGGACAGTGAGAGGTGCGAAAACGTCGTCTGAAGGACGCTTGAAGTACGTCATGAGCGAAGAAGGTGAGGCTTCGGCGATCTGGATTCGTTCTTCCTTAGTGGCACTTGCTGGGTAAGTTACGTACTGCTCGCCCTCTAGGTGAGCACGGATCTTTGTTACGGCGGGGTATCTGTCTACCATGTGAAAACCTAATAGTCTCCACGTCGCCTCTGCTGCCGATATGTACCTGGTCTTCCTGTACAATTCAATCTCATACTTGATACCTTGGATTCTGGCTTTGGCGTAGTCTTCACCTTTGTGGACNTCTTTCTTCCTGTACAATTCAATCTCACACTTGATACCTTGGATTCTGGCTTTGGCGTAGTCTTCACCTTTGTGGACGTATTTGAAGAGGTACTTGACGCACGAGGTCGCTGTAACAACGTCAACGCAAATGTGGCAGTCGAACAACATGAGGAGAATCGGAGAATAAGGCACGACCCATTCATTCCCTATCGTTACGGTCGTCCATTTGCCGTCACGTCTCACTCTGATGGCAGGCCTGTCACCGTTGTTTGCTCGCCTGTATTCTGCCCGACCGGACCTATCGTTGATCGTAGCGACACTTCTGAAAGGTTGCGGGTAGTATTTGCTGCAACACTTGCGACCGGTGTCCTTGCGTGTCTGCATGCACGGAGCGTTGACGTTATGTTCACCGCAGGGATTGTGAATCATGTACTTGATTACCCTCTCACGAAGCAAGCCGTTAGCAATGTTTGCACTTGGTAGTTGAGCCCATACCCATTCATCCATTTGATTGAGAGCATCAGGGCCTGCGTTTTGGAAAGTGATGAGGATGTGCGCATGCGGGTAACCGCGTTTTTGAAACTCGATGACACTGAGGTGGCTGTCATAGGCGCCAAATATCTTTCCGCTCTTGAGCACAGCCATGATCTCTTTAAGCTTTAACTTGAAGATGCGACAGCAAAGGTCAGGTCGATCGTAAGCACTTTGACCTGGCAGCAAGTTCCCTGTTACTTCAGGCCAGCTGGCGTTGAAAGTGACGGTTATGAACAAATGCGGTCGACCACGCCTGTTCACGATGGCGAGTGCGTCTTCAGTATCAGATTTGCGTTTGCAGGGGGACCCGGGGTGAGAGGCAGGAAGTAGTTTTCCTGGTTGCTCTGAAGACGAAGAATCACGAATGGAACGATCAGACGCAAGTCTACGTTGAACATCATCTCGCTGAACGTACGTCAGTCTACTTTCTTCCATTCTGCTGAGGGAGTCGCACGCCCATTCTTGCGCCAAGCGACTGTTAAGCATAAAAATCGGTTCTGATAGTAGCCGGTGCCTGCAGTAGTAAGGAAATTTGACATGTGCCGTGTTGTCTCTGTGCATGGTCTGTGATTTGTACGGTGGGTCTTCGTCTTTGTGGCCTTTGCTCCATCCCGGTTCACCGTACAAATGCAGAAGCGGGAACTGTAGTGTTTCGTAAACTGAACTCCATATAGGTAGAAAACGTGGTTTGGAATCTGGACTGTTCCTAGGATACGTTACAACAGCACGCGGACCGTCGT